GAAAATATATGAAAAAATGTTCACCATTGATCATACAAGAGATGCAAATAAAACAAGACTGAGATTCCATCTCACCCCAGTAAGAAAGGCTTCCGTCAAGAAATCAACCAACAAAGCACTAAGAATTAATATAGAAGAATTGGTGGAAAAATACCTATTTTTTCAGTGACTGAATATAGAGAAAAGAAGACCTTAAAGTTTTAAAGCACCACTCAGAGTATAAGGGGAACATTCAGGGGGGAAAAAGATATTTTCCCACTTAGATCTCTTATAGTCAATGAGATATACACAAGTATATAGACACAACTACTATCAGAATATATGAAAGCACGGTCTGTGTTGTTTTTTTGAGATAGTCTCACTATATACTTCAGGCTGGCCTCAAACTCACAGCGATCCTCCTGCCTCAGCCTCCTGAGTGCTGGGATTATTACAGCTGTGTAACACTACACCCAGCAAAGTTAGCGCTTAAGGTTTGCACTGGTTATCATCCTTCAAACAACAACGCAAATGTTTTAAAAATACTCTTTTGTATGTGTGTGATACCAGGGATTAAACCCAAGGCCTCATGCTTGCTAGACAAGTGCTCTCCCACTGAGCCACAGCTCGAATTCTTTTCCACTTTTTAAATTTTTTATTGTATTAGTGTTGTACTTACACAGTTTACAGTCACCTTGTGGAGTGGTTACATGTACATAGTTTGTTTCTTTTTAGATCCCTTTCCCCTTCCTTCCTGCTCCCTCCCTTCTCCAATTCCCCTACCTCATTTTCATTCTTGCTATTAACCTTAGCTCATGTTATGACACATCATGTTTACATTAATTGAGGTTATTAGGTTTCTACACATGGCACGTCTTTATTTTCCCTTCCCCTCCTCCTCACCCCTGTGCTTTCCACTTTGACCACTTCCCTATTAAAGAGATCCATCTCCTTGTCCCCTTTACCCATCCTTATTAGTTTTACTTTGCCTCACTCAAGTGAGAGACACCATATGATATTCAAGCATGTGTGTGTCTGGTTTGTTTCATTCAACACTGTATTTTCCAGGTACATCCATTTCCTACAAATGTCTCACAACTATCACTCTTTATATCATAGTAGTATTCCATTATATATAAATACCACATTTTATCTAATCAACTGTTGATGGATATACAGGCTTCTTCCAGGATTTAGCTATTACAAATTGGGCTATTGGTATGCATGTATCTCAAGCTCTTTGGGAAAAATATCTACCAGGGAGATCACAGGGTCAGATGGGATCTCTTTTTCTTTTTAGTCATATCTTTATACATGTATTACACTTTACTTCTAGATATTTCCTGTTACATTTTTACTAAAAAAAAAAAGCACAATGTCTTCATCTTATTATTTGTTTAATGTTTTAAAATACAAGGCACTTTAAACATTGAAATGTTTAAAGATTAAACATTTAAAAATAAAAAGATTAATAAAAATTACTTTACTTCTCAAATATAACTTTGTAGAATTTTTTTTAGTTTATTTATTTATTTGGTACCAGGAATCAAACTCATGACCTCAGGTTTGCCAGGCAAGTGCTTATGCCACCAAGCTATATCCGCAGCCCTCAAATATAACTCTGTCACAGCAAAATGGAAAAGGTAAACAGCCTCACTTTAAAGCAATCAGCACTAACAATAAAACTAAAGGAAGACTCAGGTACAGTTAATTCATAAAGGAGATACTTTTTTGGTTTTTTTCAGGTACCAGGATCAAACTCATGACCTTGCACTTACCAGGCAGGCACTGTGCCGCTGAGCTAAATCCCCAGCCCCAGAGATAGTTACATTTAAAGATGGATCCAGTAAGTGACCTTAATGTTTTCAATATGCCATTTAAACTATTCTTGAACATATTTTGACAAAATAAAAGCCAGTAAAGCTACTGCATCTAAAAGCCTGATATTGTTATCAACTGGTTCTTAATTTTTTAAACAGTATAAACAAATCTTTTGGGGTCTTCAACATATTAGAAATAAAATTATTTTCAATTATTAACTTCCAACAATATGACTCAACAGGGAACATCAACATAATACTTTAGCAATAAGAGGAAGAACAAATTTCTCGATAGTGGACTGTCAAATTCCTTCATCTTCACATTTACCATTTTTTTAAAAACCTGTACATACAACAAACATGATTACACACTTCTTATTACATACATGTACCAACTCCTCACAATGAACATAGTATCTACTGCAAACATGTAATAAAAAAAAACTTGAAAGAAAAAGAATTGCATAAAATTTAAAAAGAAATTGAAGATCAAACATCTGCATTAGTTTGAATAAACTAAATAAACCACTGAATCAAATAACAAAGATTATGGGAAAAGGACTTTTTAATTAAAGTGAAATGAGCAGTTGATGGGACTGTGGCGACATGGTCCCACTCCTTCCTCCCTCCCTGCCCCAGATTTTCTGAAGAAACCAGGTAGAAAATTGACTCTGACCAAGAAACAGTTGAAAGAATTTCAAAAGAAAAGCAGCCTTGGTGGACCTGGAGGAGTGAAGAAAAAGATTAAAAACTGTAGCAACCCCGAGACAACCACTGCTGGCAACTGTCACTCACCTGAGGATGCATACAAAGACCATGCTACTTCTTCCACACCACCTTCAACTAATGATACATTGTCACCTGGCAGTGTCCCTTTCCCAGGTGCTGCTCATCAGCATCACTTCAGAACCATGATGCTGAGCCAGTGACAACTTTTTCACCAGTCTTGTGTCTGAACCTATATCCTACATCAAAAGGGAGGGCGGGCCCCCATAATCTGCAAAGGTGAAGGACCAAGAGAGCTGGTACCAAGAGGTAACAGGAGCCCCAGACACTAGCTATCTATCAAACAACTTGGTAGCAAGATAGAAGAATTTAAACAGCAGCACCAAAACACTCTGGAACACCTGGAATAAAGCAGTAATGTCAACAGAAGTTGACAAAGGAGCAGGTAGCTCTACAGGAAAAGCTGCAGTTTCACATTCAGACCACAGATACTATGATGTCTCGGAAAAATTACAGATGGCCATGGCTGATGCTCATCAAGCAGCCTGCTAAAAGCAGAAGAGTCTGAGGAACTTTCCATCTACATGGTATCTTTCCAACAGTGTGGGACAGCACTGGTGTAGACTGTATCTGCTGTCTTGGATGGAGCAGCAAGAGGGGGCAAGCACAGGGAATCAACTGAGGTGCCTGATGCCCTCAGGTTGGAGCTGCCCAAGAACAACAAAAGCAACGAGCACCTGAAGCTGCAAAACTCAGAATTGTAAGAAAGCCTTCACATGGCAGAAAATGTAGCCATGTACTTGAGGATGGAGGCCCTCAAAAGAAGCTGGAGGTGTCCCAACTTCTACTCCAATAGTTTTCTAGCAAGTATCAATTCCCTCTTGGTCACCAAGTTACAGCAGGCCAGAGAAACAGGCATGGTTGGAGACACATGTTGGCCCCTGATGGAGACACTCAAACTACTACAGCTGGAGATGCTCAGGTTGCAGAGAGTGAAAGAACGCCATGTTGCAGCAGAGGCGGCAACAAATGCTGCTGTCAGAGCAGCCCCTACTTATCATGAGACAAACAGCAGAGAGATACCAGGAACAGGCTGTGACCTACTAGGGTCAAAAATAAGGAAACAGAAGCTACAGCACCAACAGAAGCCTGAAGACAGGACGACAGGCTGTGATACTTCCTGAAGAGGATCCAGGAACAGAAAAGGAATAAGAGAAAAAAGCTAAGAAATTTAAATGATAGATTTTGTTGAATGATGTGTAGATACTGTTTCCATAACAGGGCCAGGGATATAGCTCAGTGGCACAAGTGCCTGCCTGGCAAGAGCAAGGTCCTGCATTCGATTCCCAGTACCAAAAAAAAAAACCCAAAACACACACATCCTACTAATTTAAGATGTTAATACCACAATACAGGAAAATGGATGCTGAATTAAAAGAAATAAAGTGAAACAGGCTATGAAACTTCATTTTCTACAAAAATAAAACTTCAGCAAGAAGCTACCTTAATAATGTTCAACTATCTAAACACAAAATCAACCAATGCATTAAGGCTTTGTTTACATTTTGAACTTCATTCTTTTATTAGCAACAATTTTGTTAAAACAAACGGACGTTTCCTATTGTTTTCATCAGTTATGTTTTCATTTTCTAGCAGAATGCGTCCATGTGGTTGTATATGATCATGCCTCAATTTCAGAACCTTTCTAGAATACAAAATAATGTGTGTGCAACTTGTAGTAGGAAAGAAATAATCTGCGTTACTCAAAAACAGTCATACTATTCAGTCATACTACCCCATAAAGTTTCAAACACTAAGAAAAGCCAAACAGTCCTTAAAGATAAACAAAGAACAAATTTTCTGAAATTTGAGTCCTCCAAAAAAATAAAATTGTGAACAAATTTAAAATACTTCCTTGTTTTAAATTATTCTCTAGTACTATTTAGTAAGTTATTTATTCAATCGATTCTTTAGGTTCTCAAGGTGTTCCATATTAACATCTTGTAATTCAAGTACCATTGCTTTACACAAGGAAGGATCAAATGAAATAGTCATCAAACAGCACAAATCTATTAGATCTCTCTGACATTTCTGCAAACCTTCCAGGAACTTTTGATATTTAGGAGGATCCTTTTTTAACTGTTTCATTTCTAGTACTGAAAACCCTATTAAACTGGTAAGTATTTCATCTACAAAGTCTACATCTAGGTATGCACTGCCATCAGAAATCTTAGCAGTTATACTCCAAATGCCACCAGAACTTGAGAGATTTCCAGTTAGAGTTACAATAAATGCTTTGACTTTCACTGTTGTAACTTCCTTTGGTTTGCTAGCCATTAAAACAGACAGATAGGTGAAGGGTGGAGAATACAAATCTGTGCCAAGAGAAAGATCAGTACTACTATCTGATCTTTCAGAACAGTACTGTAAGTGGTGACCATGCTTATTAGAAACTTGTGAACTCTTAACTGGCTCTCTATTTAATATTTTATCAGTTAAAGAATGTCCATCTAAACTGCTGATAGTTTGTTTTACTTTATTATCTATCTCTGAGTTCCTATCTTTATTTGTAAAATTATGCGCTGATGGTACACTCAATGGACCTGAAAAAACACTGTTTTGGTCTATAGCAGATGAACAATGAAATGATCTGTCTTCATGAGTCATCTGTTCAAGTAAAGTTTTTCCATTCCAATTATTATTTCCTGGTTTGCAAACTGAAGAAAAATCATTCGGCATATTAGGTTTATGTGAAAATCTCTCCATACTTTTATCTGTGTTTTTGCTGAAAGTCAATGGCTGCAATTCTTTAGTTTTCATCTGTTCTTTTTGGACAGTTTCTTCTAAAAGCAAGGCCTCCTCCAGTGAAAAGTCATCCAATTCCCCATCGGTACAATGTATAAATTGGTTTGGTGGTTTCTCCTTTCGTCTTTGAGAATTGAGTGCTGGCTCAAAACTCGACTGTCTCGTAGGAACAGTGTTCAAGGAACTCCCTGTGTTGACACATCTTTCCAAGGTGTCATTACTTGCTGCAAACTCATCATTTTCATCAAGACTTGCCAAGAGTTCTTCATCAGAAGGTCCTAATACATCATCCATAATATCTGCAACTCTGGGGATGTTTTGATTAGAATTATTTGGTATGAATGAAACTATAGGATCAGATTCCCCAATTAATCTTGCAAGTACTTTTTCTTGTGCATATTCTCCTAAAAGAGCGTCTACTTCACCTCCTAACACTTTCACATTTTCTGGTTTCAATAAGAGAACACCAAGACGAAATGAAATGTTTCCACAAATCAAAATTTTTGTGCCTGGAGGAAGATCACTATGAAGAGCTGGAATAGACTGATACTCCATTCCCTGAATTTGTACAACTCCATCAGTTAGCTGTAGCATCAACATCCGTGAAGGCTTCACTTCCCAAGGTTTGGGGGTAACTTGTGTTTCAGCTGTAACTAGATCATTTGTTGTATTCTTTCCTCTCAACTGTTCTATCTGAGAATATGCAGGCTGACTTACATCAACCAAGGAATTAATCTGTAGAGCATAAAATCCATTCAGTTCTCCTTTTGGAACTTCTAAAATGTCATCAGGTAAAAGAGGATGTTCCAAATCTCTCAGGTCAGTAAGTAACCACTGCTCAAATACTTGTTTATTCATTTGTGCCTGACTCATACTAACATTATTATTTTCTTCCAGGATCCAGTTAATACATGCTTCCAGCCACACTAGAGGTACTTTAACATGCCATGTAGCTGAAAGCCAGGTTTCAACTCTTACTGCAGTGCTAGTTAAACTCATTTTTTAAAATAAAATAAATAATATGCATCTGTTACCTGGAAACAAAAACAAAAAATTATGAGATTCAGTACATTTAAATACAGCTTTTAATTTTTTTGGGGGGGGGGTTTCCAGTACCAGGAATTGAACTCACCACCTCGCGCTTGTCAGGCAGGCGCAGTGCCACTGAGCTAAATCCCCAGCCCCTAAATACAGCTTTTAAAAGATATATAGCTTCGGGGCTGGGGATTTAGCTCAGCAGCAAAAGTACCTGCCTGGCAAGCGCAAGGTCGTGAGTTCGGTTCCTGGTACCGGAGAAAAACCAAAACCAAAACAAAATAAAAAATAAAAAATAAAAGATATATAGCTTCTATAATCCTCTACAATGCAAAAGGAGGCACAACCACCACAACCTTTAAATTTTTCTCTCCAGTACCTTAAAAATCTGCCTTTCTACTTGGCCAAAGTCAAACATCAGAAATAATCAAATAGTATAATGAGAAAAGCAATATGTTTTAGACAGAAATACCAAAGTTTGAAAGTTGGCTCTGTCAAATTACAAACTATATGACCTAATATATGTTTCTTCTTTAACACATTTTCCTCATTTGTAAAATGTCAACACCACCACTGAACAGAGTTGAAACAATTACATGGATAACATTTATAAAGTATAACTAATTTATGAAAGATACTCAGTAAAAAGTAACTATATTAAAATAATCAGACTCTAAACATTTAAAATTTAGTCAGGATACAATGTTCACTGAACTTGTTTTTACATCTGTAATTAACACTAATTTAACTTTATTCTAACCTATATCCCTGTGTTTGGCCAGTTAGCACTTAAAGCTGTGATGTAAGAATAAAATTATAACAAGTAATATTAGACTCTGAGCTGATGTAAAGCACCTTGTGTATTTCACTAAATATTCTCAAGAGTCTTGCCAGATAAATATATTCTGATTTTCTCAGTATAATAAAGTAGTAGCAGAATAATCAAGTACATGTTCACAAAAGTTGAATTTATTCTTCCTACTGATGAAGTCAAGATACAGTTTATCTAAGTTTTTATATGTCCATAAGAAAACTTACCACTTGAAACAGCAACATAGGACCTGATGACAGGATCTGGAATGGACTGTTCAGTGAAGGACTTAAAAATCTCTACTGCTCAGAAATGGCCTTTAGAGAAAAAACAAGAAACAGTAAAGATTATAAGATGAAGCTGTAGAAAGAATTTCTGTCCTATTTTCATGAGCGCAGGACATTCATAGTAGTTTTTGGTCATTCTATTATCAGTCAGGGTACAATGGCAGCAACATACAATAGAACCAAGAGATTTGGAGTGAGATAAACAGAAAAAAATGACTATGAGAAAGTTAATTTTTCTAAGCCTATCTCCTTCTGTACTTCATAGGCAACTGTAAAATTTAAAGACAGGACAGGCATTATTTGAGGTAGCAGTTCAGAGTATAACTCTGGTGCCAGATTATATTTCACTTATAAACTGCAACCTTAAATTATTCAACCCGAAGGTATCCTAAATTACCTCATCTGTAAAATTACAATAAAGCATCTTCCTCACAGGCTTGCTGAGAAGATTAAATTAATAAGGAAAAAACAGCATTGACACAGTGAGAGCTCAGTAAATGGAAACTATTACAGAACCTGGCAAAAAGCAGTTACACAAAACTACAGTTGTTACTTTACAATGAATGACTAGCTCCCACACTGGATAAAGTCCTACACTGCCCTGAATGTCATGAACTGACCCTTCTTGTAAGTTCTTAAACTAGAAAATAATACATCTACCTATTTTAGGGGCCTGGTCCCTAAAAATGCCAGTAAAGCAGCAATAAAACTATTTTACACTGTACCTCAAAAAACAGCTGAACAATGCCTGAAAAAAGCAAATTAAAATTTCAATTTACTGTTGATCCTAAAGCTGCTGATCAAACATCTTTTTATATTTCTCAGTGACACAAAATACTTATAATTGCCTCTAACCTCTTCCTCTTTGGTCCTCTATTTCTGTCCTAGCACACAAGTTTCCAATCATCAGTACTTTTGCTACCATTGGTATCTTTTAAACAATCCATAAAAAAGGACATTGAAGCACATGACTCTCAGGAACCTACACACAGAGAGTGTATTATTAATTTTAATTTAATGAATAGGTAAAGTTTAAAGAAGAGGGCTGGGGATAGAGCTCAGCACGTATCAGCGCTATACAAGTGCCTGCCTGGCAAGCACAAGGTCCTGAGTTCGATTCCTGCTACAAAAAAAAGTGTAAAGAAGAAAAAAGTTAAGGTGATTATAATTACATAACTGATTAATTTTTATATTGAAGACATAACTGAGAGTACAGATTTTTTTAAATTCTACATGAAATGAAGTAAAAATAAAATACAAGAAAGGTCTTTGATTGAAAATAAACTATTTTCAAACAAACTCCAAGCGAGAAATTAGGGAAACCATAGCCTTCACAATAGCATCCAAAAAAAATGAAATATTTAACGATCAATCTTTTTTTTTTTTTTTTTGTTTTTTTCCGGTACCGAGAATCAAACCCACGACCTTGCGCTTGTCAGGCAGGCGCTGCGCCACTGAGCTAAATCCACAGCCCCCCTTAAGAATCCATCTAACAAATGAAGTAAAACATATGTGTACTGAAAATTTCAGTACTCTGAAAAAGGAGATGGAAGACAATATCAGAAAGATGGAAGACAATATCAGAAAATGGAAAGATATTCCTTGTTCATGTACAGGAAGAACAACATTGTAAAAATGGCCATACACCCAAAATTGTTATAGGGATTTAACGCAATCCCAATCAAAATACCATTAGCATACTTCACAGAACTACAGAAAACATTCCTAAAATTCATTTGGAAACAGAAGAGGCCTAGAATACCAAAGGCAATTCTGGGCAACAAAGGCTAGGGAGGAGGTATCACAATCCCTGACCTGAAATTATACTAAAAGGCAACTGTGATAAAATCGCATGGTACCGGCAATAAAACAGACCTGAGGATGCCCCCCAGTTCAAAAGACCCCCCCTAAATTCAAAGATCCGTTCCAAAACTGATCATCTGAGATGAATACACACTTCCCTGACGAAGAAATACGAATGGCAAATAAGGAAATTAAAAAATGTTCAACATCACTGGTCTTTAGAGAAATGCAAATTAACACTGAGATTCCATCTCATCTCAGAAAAAATGGCTATCATCAAAATATCAACCAAAAACAAATGCTGGAAGGGTTGTAGGGAAAATGGAACCCTTCTCCACTTTTGGTGGGAGCACAAACTGGTGAAATTACTGCGCAAGTAAGTATGGAGATTCCTCAAATAGCTAGGATTAGAGGTCCCATTTGACCCAGCTATCCTCCTTCTGGCTTATCCTCCCAGAAGAACTGATAACATCATACCACAGTGATATATGCGCACCCATGTTTATAGCAACACAATTTCTAATAGCTAGGTCTTAGAAACAATCCAAATGCCCATTAACTGAGGAATGGATAAAAAAGATCTGGTATTTTTTATACAATGGAGTACTACTACTCAGCCATAAAGAAGGATAAATTTGAGACTTCTATAGGTAAAAATGGATGCAACTTGAGACCACACTCATAAGTGAAATAAATCAAACACATGTGTAAACATTGTACTGTCTCCCTGGTGTGAGAAACTGAAAGAGCAAATAAGGTCCAGAATGTACAATATATACTGTGAAATGGGAAGTAATTGCTTAAAAGGACAAAGGAACTAGGACAGGGGAAAAGGGAAAAGAAGGAAGGGAAAAGGGAGAAAAATGCAAGGTAGCTATACTTTTAGTGTCTTAGTTCACTAAAAAGGAAGGTTCATGTTAATTATCAATTAGAGAATTTTTTATGCCCGTATCTATGTACTCTGAGTAACTACCTTGAAGATGACAATATGCAATGTAATGACTCATCATTCTATTATTGTGTTATGAAACTGTCTTACCTTTTTTCAATAAAAAATAAATAAATAAACCCAACAGCCTCTACACTAGTTCTCTGATTTATCAAATGGAAGTATTTCCTAAATGATTGTGAAGAAAAGCAAAATATAGGGCTAAGCATGTAGCTCAGTAGTAGAGCATGTGCCTACCATGTGTAAAGCCCTGAGTTCAATCTCCAATAATGCCCCTCAAAAAGGAAGAGATGTAGGGAGAGAGGGAGGGGAGGGGAAAAATACAGAACAGGATATACAGTATGCTAACTTTTGTACACACAGAATTCAGGAAAATAAGCAAATTCTTATTTACTTGTATATTCATAAAAGGATCATCAAAAGGATATACAAGAGATAAGATAAAACTACATACAGCCTAGCATTGGTGGCACATGCCTGTAATCCCAGCACTTGGGAACCTGAAGCAGAGGATCACTGACTTGAAGGCCAGTCTTATGCTATAATATAAAGTGAGTTCAAGGCCAGCCAACTATACGAGACCCTGTCTCAAAACAATAAATGGGATTAAATGCATAAACTCACTAATAAGAGTAAAAGCTCCCTAGTCAGGAAGAGAGAAATTTTAACAGTTTTGAGCACAAACACCTCTGCAGCCTCTGGGATAAGGGACTTACACAAAAAGCGCATGGCCCAAACTCTAACAGTCCAATATACCATGTCCAGAGCAGAGGACCATGAACAGATGCCTCACTAGAATTGTACCAAAAGAAAATCCCATCCAACATATATCTGTGGAGAAACAGATCTATCCTGACAGAGGAAACTGCACTTACACAACACATACACATGTACATGGTAGGGTCCAGAATTGGGCTATTCATATAAATTAAAAGCTCAAATCCTTAAATCCTTCATAAAACGAACCTAGTATGAGGCCTGATACAACTCCAAAACTACATCAGAGGGGGAAGACTCCTATAAGCATGAGCTGTCAAACCAAATTTATAATATTCCAGGAAAATTACAACCATGAACCACATCAGTAGAAACAACAAATAGAAAAATATATACTTGAAGAAAAAAAGTTTTAAGGAAGAACCTTTTGTTTGTTTTTCGAGACAGGATATTGCGATGTCAGGGTGGACTTGAACTCACTGTGAGCCCATGCTGGCCTCACACTCACGGTAATCCTCCTGTCTCAGCCTCCCCAATGCTGGGATTATCAGCATGTGGCAAGAGACCCACCTCATAATGTGCATTTTTTAAAAAACTCACACGTTAGTTCTTCCTGTAAGCAGCCTGTGGTGACCTGTGAAAATAGTTCGCTACTCTCTTGACCCAGAAAACCCCACAAAATCATGCAAATCAAGGGGCTCAAATCTTCATGTTCATTTTAAGAACATTTGTGAAACTGCCCAGGCCATCAAAGCTATGCATATGAGAAAGGCCACCAAGTATCTGCAGGATGTTACATTAAAGAAGCAATGTGTGCCATTCCGGCGTTACAATGGTGGAGCTGGTAGCTGTGCCCAGGCCAAACAGTGGGGCTGGACACAGGGTCGGTAGCTCAAAAACAGTGCTGAATTTTTGCCGCATATGCTTAAAAACGAAGAGAGTAATGCTGAACTTAAGGGTTTAGATGTAGATTCTCTGGTCATTGAACATATCCAGGTGACAAAGCACCCAAGATGCATCACCACACTTACAGAGCTCATGGCCGTATTAACTATGAGCTCCCCCTGACATACTGAGATGATCCTTACTGAAAACAAACTGTTCCTAAACCAGAGGAGGAAGTTGCACAAAAGAAAAAGATATCCCAGCAGAAACTAAAGAAACAAAAACTTATGGCATGGGAATAAATTAAGCATAAAATAAAATAAATTGAAATAAAAGTAAAAAAAATTAGAAAAAAAAAATCACATTTCAGAGCATGTAACCCCTGCACTCTGCGAGACTGAGGCAGGGAGATTTCTAATTAAAAGGTCGAGCAATTCAGCAATGTATGAAGAGCCTGTCTAAAAAAGAGAAAAATGAGACTGTGAGACTAAAACTGGGTTGTAGCTTGCCCTAGGTTCAATCCTTAGGACTACTGAAAACACATATACACATGTGTGTGCGCATGTGCACATGCACACATGGCAAAACACAAAACATTAATGTAAAAAAAAAAAATCTTAATGCCCAGCAAACTGGACCTAAAATTAAAGTCAGCAAAAATCTGAAAAACAGCCAG